GGAATGGATTTGAATTACAACAAATGTTGTTTATATTGAATTAAAATTTCATTAGCAGAAATTAATCAGACTTCTTCCAAGTACGCTGTGGTTGCAATTTCTGTCGATTATAAAAGGAGCGAATTTTCCCTTAATTTTATTTTTTTACTGAGTATGACGAGAATTTTTTTTTTTGTTTATTTTATTTAAGTTCAAAAAACTTTATCTGAGCTTCGTAATCTGATAAATAAATATATTTAAGATAAAAGGTGATTGTTATTTAAAATTTATTATTTACTATATTTAAAATTTTAATTTATATTTAATGTAATATATCCGTCTCGGGTTTGCAAAACTTCGACTTTCGCAAGCAAATAAAACAAACAAATCAATGCTCTCATGGGTTCGAATCAAACATTTGAAGCTTTTAACGCGCATTCTTAGCTCATTTGTCAGGTGTGATTGCAAGATAGGCCATTGATTCATTAGCTCACTCAATGTTTGGTTAAGCAAGAATAGCTGAATCAGTGTTCGCGGGCTCGAATCTCTGTGCGGTAGACTTGATTGTAGTCTAAGTCTTTCCCACTGTTCACTTCTTTCTGATCGCCATCAGATTACACGAATACGAGACACGTCCTGAGTGATTCGGTTCGCGAGTTCGAATCTCCGTGCGGTAAAGTTGATCGTAGGTATAGTGAGTGCTTAATCGGCAAAGGCCTAACACTTAACGTTTGGGCATGCACTCATTAGGCTGCAGCCATTTCCCTTATGTCTTTCCCTCTCTTCACTGCGTTCTGATCGTCATCATATTACACGAATAGGAGACATGTCCTCAATGACGGGTTATATTAAAAAAAGATAAACTTGTCAGCATCTCTTTGATAAAGTAATGACCTGAAATTCATACATATATATATATATTGTTCATCAATGTAAGAGACACATTGCTTCGGTTTAATAAAATTTTGTACTTGTAGAGAAATCTAAAAAACAAAACCTGTGCAATCTTCAAACCATAATTTTCTATATTCTAATTCCAAGGACTTTCAAACTTCACTTCAGTGTGTTCAAAAATAGTTTTTGAGATTAGTTTTCTTGTTGGCGATAGTTTTAAGATATTAAATTCTGATTTTTACCGACCAACTGCTGGCAATCAAACATGGCTGAATCGATTCCGCTATTTATACTAATTAAGAATATATTTGGGAAGCGTTCAAGGCGCATTTGCCGTTTTTGCAGATTTTGCATAACTAATGTATAAAGAGTTTCTTACTAACACAAGTTATGGGACTTTCCTAAGACTCTCCTTCTGGAAAAATGTAACATTTTGACTTACGACACGATAGTTGAAAATTTTTATACCCATCACCAAAGGATGAGGGGTATATTCATTTTGTCAAAACGCTTGCAATGCCCAGAAGCAAGTATCAGAGACCCCATGAAGTTTATATATTCTTGATCATCATTAAATTCCAAATCGATTTAAGCATGTCTGTCTGTGTGTCTGCCCGTCTATATGATGTCTGCTGTAAACATTCTCCTAGCCGCAAAAATGAAGATATCGTCTTCAAATTTCGCAAAAACATTGAAAGGTCCTACACGCAGGTTGTTATTACAAATGGGCCAAATCGGTCGAAGAATACCTCTGCTTTTCGAAAAGAATGAAAATTTTGATTTTTTGCTCATTACTCGTAAACTATAGTATATGAACGCTTATTCTATGTGCGATGCCATAGTACCTGTACAAAAATCGAAAAATTAACCATGCTTACTCAATATTGTAGTGTATCGAAATTTAATTTTTTTTCAGTACCTTTGAAATGGGCCCTCTCTCCCTCTCTCTCTCTCTCTCTCTCTTTGGCGGAAATGAAGATATCGCCTACAAAATTTGCAAAAGAATTTGGAAGTGACACGCCTACAATGCCGACACGCCCATTCGACAAAATCTTTTATTCTGAAAATATAAAAAATCAGCCGCGCTTAGTCCATATTATAGAGGATGAACATTTCGTTCTTTTACTTTTTTTGCCTTTTTAAAATAACGGTGAAAGAAACGGTAAAAGATTCGGTCGCCACCGAGTATAATTTTCGTATTTGTTAATATTACTTCCTAAGAAGCATTCCTGATTAAATGTAATAAACCGCTTATAATGTGTGCTCATGTAAGACGAATTCGTATAATATCGCGGAAAAATTGTTTCTGTGGTTATATGAGACGTTAGCATCGTACGGCAAAAGAGTGAGACAAATGTTTCCATTCTATTACATTTCAGCTCCAACGTCTAATATAGCGATTAAGTTCATAAAAGAAACGGTACATAGTATGTGTTAACCAGGATCATAGCTATTCTCGGGAGACTTCGTTCAGTTAACAGAAGCACTGAGAGTTGTCGAGTCACCATCTCACCGTTACATCTACTTGAAAGTTTTCTGTCAAAATGTTTTTTAATAATGTATGTATATCTAAAGACATCTGTTAGTGTATCACAGAAGCTACTAGAAATCTACAGGTAAGACATAAAAGGCTATAAGTTCCCAGCAGGAATTCATCTAATGTAGACGGTCCTTACGGAGCGTTCGAAGAAGAGTTCGAAATTGAAAAAATTTTAGTCAGTTCAAAGCATCTACCTTCTGCAAGCCAATGAAGTGAAGCATGTTGTAATGAATTTGCAGTAGCGTTCAGACCTAGCCGATAGGAATTTATATGAATTTTTATAACCTACATCACTTGTGATACTAGGACAAGGAAAAGGAGAAGTTTTTGCGGTTATATGCAACAGCCAGAAGGACTTGAGATAGGCCTAACTCTTATTGTACTGATTTATTCAGCATCTAAATTCTTTCTGGATGCTACAGACATAAATGTGTCTGTCCGTCTGTCGGTCGTGTGGTCTAATATTCAACGCCCGGTAGCGAAATTTTTGAGATATTTCGATGAAATTTAATATCCCGACGAGTTTTAGCCCAAAGATGAACGCTATTGAAATTGACTTCGATCTGACCACTTTTTCGATCACATCCCATATAACGCCTTATTTTCAAAAGTCATTGCATGGATAACAGTAGGATATTTAGTGATAGGTTGCCTCTCTCCATACTGTTTTAGATGTTTTGTAGCTAAAGTTTCTAGTCTCCAAATAAGGCTTTTTGTGCCAATTGAAGGCTTAAACGGAAACTTGGTGAATAAGTTGAAGATCACAACTTAATCAGTATAGTATGCAAATTCATCGCTAGGCTTGTCAGTGACATAGTTGCGCAAGGGCTAGTCCTCCTTTGAAGGCGATACCCAGATAGAAATATCGTCATGTGATTTAATTAGCTGTGTTGCAACGGAAAATTCCTTCTTTAAAGATTGCGGAGTAGGCTGCGGTGTATAGCGTTCTTTTCTTTTGACAATTCCGTATACTTTTTACACAGAATACTTAACGTTTTCGTGCAGATGTTTGCGAAAAACATAAAATTCACAAATCAACCAGCAAAGTATTTATCTAGAGATACATTTTAAAGTACATAAATGTATGATGTAAAATGGTAGGCCATTTATTAGCAACAAAACATTTATTATGGCGCGTTTGTTGCTCATAGGTTTTGTAAGATGACGGACCTATTAAGTCCTGTTTAATGAGTACTAAAGAGAATTCATATTTCCTCCCGCATTTCTTTATCTATGTTTTATGGTTCGAGTAAATGGAGAATGAAAACAAAGACAAATAAACTTCATATTAACTGAGAAGACAGAAACAAGTAAAGAAAACTACGTTCACCTTGAAACGAATCGTGCATACACTTCTCCTTAGGCAAATATGTCAAAATTGTAAAGTTTTATATGTATTGCTAGGGTAACGGTAGGCCGGCCATATTTGCACCGAACGCAAAAACGGGGTGTTGAATAAGTCAAGAAAGTCTTAAATCGGTTAACAATAACTTTTATTCTTTTGTAATTTACACCACTTGGATGGGATTGGTGTGCGCTAGGGTAGATTAAGTTGGTGCGAATGTATGCAAAATCGAGAAGGATTTCAGATAGACCCATTTTTTATTAAAACCAGGTTACTGATAGAAACTTGTCTATCCGTCTGTCCGCCTTTTTTTCTTGTGTTGAACCTACATACGTTGTAGGCGTACTAAGCGTAGAGACGAAGGGCAATTAATAGTGGGCCGTGCTCCTCTACGGTGCTTTCACTTGTTTAACATTTCTTTGTATTTTTTGTTAACAATTCCAAACGAGTTTTCAATTGACTTGAGCTGAGACCATATGTGCCAAGGAAAAGATAGGGTTTTTTATTTCAATTTTGGTGACAATGAATGAGTTGTACAAACGAGGAAATTGACTTTACGGTATCTTACGCTAAAGCAGAATATATATAACTTAGGGAATTGTCGATGAGGGAGTAAAGGGAATTACTTCTCCCTTCGTAATAAAGAAAATCCAGCCCACGAGAAGATGAAGACTTCATCTCTAAATTCATATCGTATCCCTTACAAGATTCAGAGCAACCACAAAGGTATGATTTTCGCATTCTTCATCTTATTGAATGATGGGTACACACAGGAACGACACAGGGTTATCATTGAATTGCTTTAATTGGAAACACCTGCATATGGAAGTTGACGGGTCTCTTTTCTTTATATGTGTAAAATTTTAAATGACAATCAGAAAGAGAGTGTTGTCATGTTTTGGATAAAGTCAATATCTTATTAGGATTATCGAAGGCTTATGTTACTTATCGTAAGAGAATATTAGTCCCCTCGTTCAACCTCCGGGTGATAGGCCAACATAAACGGACATGATATAAATATGTTTGAATAGCTAGTGTAAATAAAAACATAAATTCTTTGATATTTCGGATCGTTATTGGTTGTGCACATCTCTTGTAGGTTACAAACATAATGATAACATTACTTTACTTCCTTAGCTAGTGGTGGGTGTTAAAAGTTGTCAGAGAACTTGAGAGACATTTCGTTGAATTATGTATACGTTAGGCGAACCTATTCTGGCCATATCAGCATTTTGCTGCTATATGAGTACTACACACATATTCAGTTTTCTATTTGATTGTTTGTTTTGCTCTATTTTGTTTGTAAATATTTCATGTTTTTCTTTCTTGCTGCTAGTAAAAAAGCTAAGGTAAAATACGAAACGATTGCTTTATTTGTCGGTCTATTGCAATACGAACCGTCTATAAAAGTTTATTCGTATAGTAAGCGTTCAACTTATAACGTGGTCGTATAGTTGGTGCTTAACTTGACTTGAAAGCATTAAAAGTGGTAGTAAATAAAATAAAATAAAACAAAAAATAAAAAATATAAAAAAATTATTGAGATAAATTGAAGTGCGAAATAAACGGATATGTTAAAATTATTTAAACAAAATAAAAAAGATAAACCGCAAAAGGCGGAGATAATTAACGATAACCAGCAACCGAAAAGAAAATGCGGCAAAATATTAGTCCTGGATAATACACGTTGGGAGGCAAGTATTACATATATATCGCTTAAGTACATAGATACCGTCAAGTGTTAAAGAAAACATTTCAACAAACTCCTACACTTCACCAAAAAAAAAAAAATCAATATTTACACAAGCATTATGGGAAATTACACACTCTATATAAGTGCTTGAACATTTTCAGGCAAGAGATACTAGAAGAAGATGAAAAAGAGCAATGAAAACATTTATCCACGAGACAGGATACATTCAACTTTAGATGAACTTTTGAATCACGAAAAGGAATAGAAAAGCTTTTTTTTTGCAACCACCAACTTATGTCGATTTAAAAAAAATTTTTTTCTTTGCGGATTTATTGCTTACATTAGGTCATCGCACAGATAATACGGTTTACTTAATATATCCTTTGTACTGATTTCGCTGAACTCTCCTTCTTTCCCATTCTCTCTCTCTTTTTACCCTCGTTTCAATTACTTGTGCACATATTTTTTGTTGGTTAAGAATATCTCTCGCTCTGCACTGGTCAATGAATACACATCGGTCTGCTTCTAAAAGATTTTAAAGATGATAAAATAAATAAACGCAAGTCGAAAATTCAATCACTGAGCATTACTGAGTATTATCTTTGAAAAACTGCTCAAAAAATATGAAACTTAGCTTTCTTTTTTTACTTACTACTTTTCCGGGGCTTATAGGCTTCATATTCGAAAAAATGCTATTATTTATCGTACTTTTATCACTAATCATTGCCCCGAAAAGGGCAAACAATAACGTCCAGGCTTGTCTTGAAGTGTTTTTATTATTATTATTATTATAAATTTAGCCAGAGAATAAATTCTAAGACTAAAGTCTTAAAGCACTAGCATCTAAGGCTTTCGACTTTATTAAAAACTTTGCCGCACTTGAGATTTGAACCCACGACCGTTCAGCTTCTAGTCGAGACTCTTGCCTACTCGGCCACTCAGGCGGATTGAAGTGCTTTTAAAACGTTGAAGGAGCTTGGCAAACACAATGATGTGCACCTAATATGGATGCCTGGGCATTCGGCAACGAAATGCCTGATTATCGAACTAACAGGGTGGCCCGGGTGGCCGTTTCAGGTGTTGAACCCTTCTATAGCGTACCAAGAAGCCAGTTCACAATGATCACACACACGCACACACACAATGATCACGGAAAAAATCGAATTGCCATTTGGTAGCCAATGTGGAGGACAAGAGCAATCAAAAAAGTTCATAATACCTACCTGTATAACACACAAACTACTGAAACTAGTAAGGAACGGCTTGCGCTTGGTCACAGGCGTCTACACGAGCCATAATTCCCCCAGGTACCACCTGAAACACGTGCGTATCTCCGATACTGATTCTGTCAAAGGACTACTGAGACGTCCCATCATATTCTATGTAAAAGTGAGTCCATCTGCAGAATCAGACACCAAGTGTTTGGAAACCACTTTATAATGCCACATACGGTATTGCATTCCAAACCAAAGAAGGTGGCGGGGTTAATAAGAATCGTAAAACTGGACGATTAGATGCTCGAACGGATACGGAATATATCCTTTAGGTTGCTATACCGATTGTCCACATAATTAACAATAATTATCAGTCGCTAAGCAGCATTAAAATAAATTTTCTTCTCAGCGACTATAAAAACTAGAAAATTTGGATGCACCAAATTCCAGAAAGGCTTAGGACCATTTAAACTCTTTTGAGCCCTTTTATAAATCCGCAAAAATTTTATATATCGTAGTACACCAAATGGCGTAGGGTACAAATCTAAACATAAACAATAAGATTGTAATTGTTTCCATGGTTCTTACAAGTGCTTGAGCGGCACATCGTGGTATGATTCGTCATGAAAACACCTCATCGATCTATTAATAAAAGGGATTTGTTTTTAGGCAAAGAAATTGTTCACCTTGAGCGTCTTTTTCTTTCATGTCAAACTAAATTCTTTAAGCAAATTTCCTTCTTTCTGTTTGGTTTCTTCACCTTATTTAGGCTTTTTGATTAATTTTTCCAAATTTGCTTCAGCGAGTTTTTCAATTGTTCTTTTCTCTATATATAAGTGATTTACAAACTTATTACTATATCTCTTTATCTGCAAAATACTGGAATTTTTCTTTTTAAACAATTTTATTGACATAAATTAATTTATGTGACAAACCATAGTTTATGTATATACGTGAGTATCAGCAGGTTTTTAAACATCTATCTTATATACATATGTATATATACAATACATGCAATAAGTTATCAGTGCAAAATTATTTTATTAATTCTCGATTAAAAGAGACAAATAAATTTATAACAATAGGAGATAGACTGCTAAGAGAATTAAAAAAGAACAAGTGAAAACATTATATGTGGACGCAAGAGCCATCGCTGAATACCCTAAATCAAGTCGTCTAATCCACCTATTTATTAATTGTCGTCGTGAAATAGATAGTGTTTTAGCTTCATAACTTGTAGAGTTGTATACCACGTGGCTCAATTATAATAAATTATAGTAAAGATTTGTTTTCAAGAACCAACCACACTGTTCTTCACTTATTTCTTTATGCAACAGATATCATTGACATATAAGAGCTTATTTTTCACTAAAACCCATATATGGGATGCCGTCCAAAAAGCATGCCTATTTAGTCCAAATAAGTTAAATAACTATTTTGTGTTTGTCAAGTAACTTTCAGTAGAAAACACAAAACATTAAAGCTTAGTATCACATAAATGACTTTTGTACGGGATGGAATTCAGAAAATTGTCGGAGTTTTCAGTTCAAGAATTCAGTTCAAGTTTTGGCCGTTCAGTACACCAAATTTCGATTTTTCATCGATCTTTGTCGAAAAATATTAGAATTCGTAAATGAATTTCATAAAATGATTTATTTTAAAACTTATTCTTATATGCTAGTAAAAATGATCTGATCTAATCCGTTCTCAAGGGTTTTTCTACTTAAGCGAAAAGATGTCAGTTTATTTGCACATCTCAATATCTCACAAGTACTGAAACACAAAAACAGATAGAGGGACAAGCTTAAATCGATGCAAAAGGGAATAATTCTGAATCTATTTAGAAGTTAATTTAGAACAAAAAAGAAGTTTATTTCAAGTCTTTTTATACATACGCACGAATTTAATATGCCCCTGCAATTGCAAGTGTAGGGTATTAAAATTCTACCTGAGCACTATTCCTCTCCTCCTTTTCTGAACATTGATTCTGAAAGAAGTCCTTCCGTCCGGTTCGCTTGTCCCACCGACCTTTTTAAAGAGACTGCCAATAAACTCTTTTGAAGCCTTGGAAATGTGTGGGCGAGAAAAACAACCTTGCCAAATGTAGGGAATATATCCTTTTTGCAACCTATTATAGGGAACATCCCGAAACCCCAGTTATATAAAAAGAATTATTTAATTTTTTTATTTTCATTCGGCGGTGAGGAGGAGTGCACCAATTTCGTTCTTTCACTTGCAATAGTAAAAATCGCCTTGGGGCTCTTATTATCGAGCTATCAAGCTCAATTTTTAATTTTGGACTGACAGCTTCCGTTACCGAGGAATTTTTATTGAGCAATTAGTTGCTGTTACTCGATAGTGTATGCATTTTATCCCGATGTTGAATATAAAATCTGATATTTGCACCTTCAAAACAAAAAAAGGCTGGGTTTTGTGTTTCGTACCGTGAGCAAGCTTCACACGAAGAACCGTGAACCGACCGTGGCCTTCTTTATGTATTAAATTAAGAGTTTCACTCGCTAAATGCAACCATCTATTGCAGGTCTCTCTATTTTCACTAAAAACTATAAATCGTTGACGAAATTTGGTAATATTGTTAGCTTGAAAATGGACCGATATCTGAAAGTAATGTTCTTCAACAAGGGAAACTCGTGATTAATTTCCTTTCCATTACTTGATTCTTTCATCAGATGTCAGTCATCTAATCCAAGTAATAAAATAAAAAGTATTTTCTAAAAGTTTTGAATCGAATCGAACAGTTTTTTTAACAACGATTTTTGCAATATCTTTTTAAAACCCTGAAAGGAAAATATTCCCTAGAAGCGAGCCATAATTGCTAAGTTAAGATGTCAAGGTAGAGCCCTTTAATATTTATTCTCTTCAATCTTTACATTCCTTTCGCCTTACTATCTTTGTATTTTCTGACAAATACAAGATGAAGCACATTTTTTCATAAGATATTCACCCTCTTGGAACCTCTCCTTCCAATAGCATGAGATTATCTCAAAACCAGCAAAAAAATTATATTGGGTTATGTTCGAATCTTTTACATCCATCAGAAAATAGTAAAAAAAAGCGAATAATAAATTTCTACATTTTATGACATTGGGTGGGCATGGCTTACTTTGTTTCCTTTTTTTATATTACCTATCTGTTTTATTTTATGAACAACAAAAACGGAAAGCAAAGGTGTTGTTGTTACAGAGGCATGTGGGCGTTCTAGGCGCGTCCTTCAATTTCTTTGGTCCATTTTAAGGACTAATTTTCAGGCAAGAGCTTTCAATGTTTCAGCCAAACTTGAAGATGAGCTTCATTTTTATAGCCAGAAGATAAACCTTACACAGGCGGACAAATGGACAGAATTAAATTCTAGTTGAAAATATATATATTTTGTGGGATATCTGAGGCTTTCCAGCATTTGCTGTTGCAAATGTTTCGAAAAAATGACTATAATCCCCATCCTTAGGTGATAGAAGCAAGAAGCTTCCATAGGGCAAACGTCAATAAAATCATCCTCAAGATATACATAACGAATAAAACTTCATTTGTTTTTATATTATTTTTTTTTACTATTGTTATTTATTGAAAATCACATGAAATGAAAAACAATTTCAGCTTTTGTGGTAACGTCTAGGACTTCAAAGACTGATACATGTTTTGCGGCAAATGTTAACTTTAAAAAATTATTTGCTCTCTAAATGCCTACTTGGCATAGAAGAGTAGTTTTCTTTGTCTTTTAAAAATTATTAAACGTCTGCTTTATTTTATTTTTATTTTATCTTTTTTTTATGTTTTTCCAGAGAAGACTACAAAAAGAATTAATGGGTTTAATGTAAGTATACAAGCAATAAACGCAAATACAATAAACACATAGTAGCGTAGCACGTGTTCAAATATAATTTAATTGCTTTTCCTTATTCATATACTTTTGCAGCAAGGAACCTCCACCCGGTGTTTCCGTAGATACAGAAAGCATATCACAAAACTTGTCAGAGTAAGACATTCAGAGAAAATCAAATATAAATCTCTTTTTAAGCGAATTTTCTTTTCATTTATTTTTATATTGTTTGCTGCTTAGATGGAAAATCAATATCGCCGGCTTCGAGGGTACATTATATGAGGGCGAAAGTTTTCAATTATTATTCAAATTTAATAACAAATATCCTTTCGATTCACCGGAAGTAACTTTCATTGGCAGCAACATACCCGTACATCCGCATGTCTATTCAAATGGACATATCTGTCTATCGATACTTACGGAGGATTGGTCGCCAGCGCTTTCAGTTCAATCAGTTTGTTTGAGTATAGCTTCTATGCTAAGCAGCTGTAGGGAAAAGAAACGGCCACCCGATAACACACTCTATGTAAAGACTTGTAATAAAAATCCTAAAAAGACTAAATGGTGGTATCACGGTAGGAAAAAGAAAAATTTATTATAAATTGAATTTAATTTTAATTTTAATTTCTCTTCCAACAGATGATAACGTCTAGTTAAACGAGTTTTATATGCTTTGTATTTATCGCGTTGGCCACTTTCTGTATGTGTTGAATGCGGGATTACAACAACAAAATGAAAATGAAAAACAACAACAACAACAACAACAAACTGATCAAGTTACTATTAAGCCTACATTATTGACTGTGAGAGGTTTACGACGGCATGTGAAAAAGTTGCTGTTTAAACTTAAAAAATGGAGTTTGCGAAAATTGTGTAAAAATAATAGAAATTCATTTTAAACCGAAAAAGAAAGATCAACAAAAGAAAAACAAAACAAAAATAAGAACCCCAACAGCAGCAAATTTCTAATTTAAGTCTCTTTAATTAATAATAAGTGATAGTTCTTAAAAGCAAGAGAAAAAATCACTTAAAAACAATTATCATATAAGCATGTAATGCATAATCAACCAATCAATCAATCACAATTTTACATACCAGCATAATAATACATGGATATATTTTTTAGCTTTTTGAGAAGAAGAAGAAAAAGTCTTAACGTTATTGTAAAAAAGAAAAGAAAAAACAAGAAAAAAAAAAGAAAGTTGAAATAAATCTTAATACCGAGTTATAAATAATAATTGGCCACATAAAAGTATATACTTAACTAGGCGCTTACCTATAGCTCTCAAACCAATGCTGCCACATTCCAGAATTTAAAAATTAAAATTTCGATTCGTCAGCTACGATATATCATTGATAGTCACCGTCATCGTCACGAGTTCAAGTTTATTAACAGTAAAAATAATTAATATAAAAAATAGTTGGATAAGAGTATCTAAAAAGCGCAGATATGTTAACCTTCTTTCATACATCATTTTCATCTATTAAAGAATTTCATCTCTTTATTTATGATTTGTAAATTTTAGGGCTAAAAACAGTGCATCAAACCTTATAATAATTAATCTTAAATTTGAATTTATTGCAATGTGCGTGTATGTGTATGAAATTTTGTGAATAATGTTGTAAATAAAACAATAAAGAAGAAGAAGAAGAAAACAAACAACAAAAAAGGGGTTTGAAGAGTTGCAAAAACGTTTCGTCCCTTTTCCTAAGGCTGGGGCAGCTCATCGGCCCAGGGAAGGAAACGCAAGAAATTTATTTGTTACGGGAGTCTTTATTTATTTATTTAATATGCCACTTCACTACACGACGACTCAACTAAAAACTGCCCTTCTCGAGGGTCTACTCTCGACTACTTTAACACGACTCACTTAACTAAAACTAAGATTAGCCTATTCTATTCTTATGCCATTCCTATCCTATCTTATTCTATTCTTATTCTATTCCTATCCTCTCTGAATCTATTCTTATTCTATTCCTATCCTGTCTTAACCTAGCACTCCCTTCCCCTCACCAGAGACGCAGAATCCTTCAACCCGAAACGAGGGATAACTTTAGGTCCTCAAAGAGTGTTTTCAAATTTAAAAGCGCAAGGTGCACTAGTTTGACATGACGCTCGGCTTAGAAGCGTTTTTATCTGGTGCCATCTAATCACGCCGATCGAAAAGAGATGCAAATTCCAATTCGTCATCCGAAGTTTATGAAAGGGAAAAATAATTGAAAGAACTCTTTACATTTTTTTTATAATGTGAGGGAAGAGATTTTGAGATTCTGAATTGAATGTAAACAAATGCAAGGAAGAGAGTCAATAGAGTGATGTAAGCAAATAATTAGTCGGTCGTAAGTTCAAGGCGAAAGCTGAAAATTTTCAAGTTATATGTTAAAAATGTATATTTATATATATATAAAATAATGTATTAATAATTGAAAATAATTGAACGAAAGGGAATACGGTCCCAGTTCCGTAAACTGTTTGTTTATTAAATATAGGCCTTGTGCTAATCCTGGCAACAGGAACGACCATAAAGAAGCCGTCGAGTGAAAATTTGTGGCGGCTTCACATAAACTTCTCAACCGGCCGTACCGCAGCTGGTCTCCAAGGTGAACAGTCTGTAGTCGATAGGATAATGTAGATAAAGGAAGTCGGCAAATTAGATCCGTAACTTCGGAATAAGGATTGGTTCTGAAGATTGAGATAGTCGGACTTGATTGGGAAGCAATAATATGGTTTATGTATTCGTTCTGGGTAAATAGAGATTTTCGGATCTTGTTCCTAAGATAGTAGTTACGTAACCTACTGTGGAACTTTCTTGCAAAAATTTTTCAGGAATTATCGCAAGATATATTCTTTTTTAATTATAACGATGATCAATTAACAATGAATTTAGAACTGGCACAGACTTGGAGAATCCGACTGTCTAATTAAAACAAATCATTGTGACGGCCCTAACGGGTGTTGACACAATGTGATTGGTTTACGTTTCATCACTTATCTGATTTCCCATTAGATTTTTGGAACTCTTCTATTTACTCAACGTGTCAGTGGAATTGTAAGTCTTCACTTGAAGACTTATTCACCATAACCTTACAATTTTTATTTGGATTTTTATTGTCCTTTTTATATTGTGGAAATGTATTTTATTGTTGTTACATTTTACATTAATCTATATATTTTAAAAACCCTTTTATTTATTTGCTTTTCAACATAATTTTAAAATTGTATTTTTTAATTTTTATAACTACTTACTTTTTTCTTCTTAGCGCTACGATAAAATATACTTTAACAAAGAGGCATAGTAAATTTTTTATTCACTTAAGAGAGAAAACCGCCGCAAAGTTTTAAGAGGGTCAAGTTTTCTTTTTCATTATCTTAGCAAGTAGCAAGTATTTTCATTAAGCGTTTTGTTTTTTTCCTCCTCTTTCTTAATTTTCCAGTTATTATCATTCATCGAAAAGACAAAGAAATTTAAAAAGAAAAGGAAAGAACCAGCCTTAGGGCACAATATTAGCCATCAAGCCTAAAAACAGAAGTGTTAAACTATGGGATGCAGTTCAACAAAAAAGGTCTCGACAACTGTGTTACAAACAATTCAAAGCTTCCACAGCTATGTTAATACCGAGCCATAGCTTCCGCAGCTAGACTAAAAATCCCTCATAGCCGCTATTATGTTAAAAACTAATTATAGCCGCCGCAAGTATGTGAAAAACGGCACAAAACTATTACATTCAGCAAACATTCAATAAAAAAACAATCAAAAGTTAAAAACGACATATATTAAGATATGTTTTTTGATTACAACTTGTATATAATATAACTTACAGTTACAAGTAATAAACTGATACATAAGTGATTAGTAAGCCCTTAAGAGTCCAAGTTGAGAATGAATGGAAATAAAAGATGATCAAGGGCGTGATAAAAGCTTAAACGGTCAAAAGACTTGTTCTTCGATACGCTGTTGTATAATAGCTAAAATGGACTTGAAACTTTGGTCGCAGTTTTTTCGAAGCTCCTGGCCGATTCAGATGCCCCGATCTATCCACTCATTCGCTCGGCAAGAGGAATTTAAAGTAAGGGTCGATGGTATCTTGATCACAGGATTAATGAAAAATGATGAAGGGTTTACTGAGATTTGAGAAATACATGGTCAATGTTCGTTGCAAAATAATTTCATACACAAATCCGTTAAGGAGAACTGAAAATAAAATTTCTGAACTTGTGCGACAATTACTTTGTAATTTTTGTTTTTAATTGAGTTTCGAGGGCACGACTTCAGGCTTAAAATGGACAAAACACAATCGAGGAAGTGTCTTGTATATACTAAATAAGTATAAAGTGGAAAACTTAGTAGAAGCAGCCATTTTAGGCAAGGGGTAGAGCTATGGTAAGGAAAAGGGATTGCCACTATATATCGGACGCAGGCGTTACATCAAGTAATAACAATATCTTTAAATGGTACTAAGACAATTTAGAGGGATATCGTCAAGCTTGTTATCACTACGTAATTTTCGTGACGAATGCTTTGCAAACGGGAACATATTCAGCTTGTCAATACGATTGCAACATTCAAAATGAAGCTTCAGAAACTCTATAAAGACTAGTTATTCTTCATCAGGAGAATATATGGTATAAATAAAACTTTAGTTAATGTGCTCCACAAACAGCATTTAATGCAATACATTTACTGCATTTAAGAACGATAAAAGTAAACATGAAAAATTATATCACGTTAAATAACTTAAAAAGCCGTAAGAAAAACATAACCGCACTCAGCTGCCTACAGTCTACCGAAGCCATTCTCAGGCGGGTGATTGAATTTGAGAATCTTCGTGGGCTGTGGAGTAGCTAATGCAAATTTGAACGATCAAATATAATTCTTTAATCTGCATGTCTATACTAACGGAATATTCTGGAGATTGTAAAAATGTCGAGAGATCTGATAGTTCGAAAATGGAATGTAACATGGTTTTTGAAAACAGTTGTATACATATAAGTGGATCGGAACGCGATACCGAACTACTTGTCCAATCAGGTTTTGTATAATTATTACTAGCATCTGTTACCTGATGCGGTTATTGCTTCAAGTTTGATGTGAATATTGCATCAAGACTCTGTCTCAGCTAGTTGCATTTTTATTGGTGGCCACCAAGTGTTGAGGAACTTGCAAATTAGTCGCATATTTCACCATAACTAAAGGCAGGGTTCTTAGTGGGCTTCTCTTCTTCATCTGTTAACATTTTATAACCACCAATTTTAAGTCCTTCTCACTACCTCGATCACTATCTTCGACCAAAATGGAAACCCAAACGTAATGGTCCTTAAAACGTTTTTTTAAAAAAGTCATTTCAGAAATTGAATAATAAAAGATGGATCTATTTCAATTTCCCCTCCGTATTGCATGGCTCCTGCGCAGGTATCTGAAAAATTATTCGGTAGGTGCGGCGCTGCATTCAGCTAAGTGCACCGCTGCGGATAGGTGCAGCACAGTCGCTAAGTGCAGTTGAAGTTTTCTATTAAATTTTTTTTTTAACAATAATCCACGTAGATCTAACATCCGATTTGGATTCTTTTTTCTCTTGGTTTAATTTCCAAGACTTAGAACTTCTTCCTTACCAAAACTTGAATTATAGACATAGTAAAACGATTAAAGCCATTTACCAACGGTACTATGTGATTTTCATAAGCTAAGAAGCTTG